TTCGATACGATCGACTAGTGCGGCCGCAAAAGCATCACTGATGATTGCGTTCCTAGTACGGTGGCTATACACCTATAATGTGAAGAACATTATTGTGTTGAATACAACCACTTTGTCTCCGTACCTAACCCCTGTGTCACACGAGCATTGAATGAATATACGACTCTAGCCAGGGTCAACCCTATCGTTGGTACTTTTTGTTATTTTTACGACCCCCTCCCTTTATGGGCGATTTGGCACGACCCCCTGTGTGAAAAAGATGGAATCTCCTGGGCGCAAGGACCATTCCGCTCGAACTTTTAGAGCAACAGTTCCAGCAGGGTTTTTACCTTCGACACTAATGGTGTGGAAAATGAGGCCTGAGGCGATTGCAGCCGATTTCCAACCACACCCACTTCGAAGCCGTTCAGCTCCCTTTCTAGCAGCTTTCCAAGGTGAGTTTTTTGTTCAGTCACACTTCTTATGTTCTTGACTAGGGCTAGCGCATCGTTCCACACCATTAGTGTCGAAGGTAAAAACCCTGCTGGGACTGTTGCTTTCAACCCATCCCGGAGCCTGCTCCCCCTGAAAAAAAATGGATAACTTCACGCGATATGAACTGTCGCACCACATGGCCCCCTTACCGGATGAGACCCAAAAAACCCGATAGGTGCAATAATAGGTGCAATAATATAAAAAGTAGAGGTAGCAAAGGAATGGAAACGCGTATTGATCGCGTTTTGAATGTGCTGAATCGCGCCCTGACGATGGAGCGCGTTTGCTGATCGGGAACAGGTGACGAACGGGGATATTGAAATGTAGACGAATTTTTCTTTGTTAAATTTCAGGTACTTCGGAAGATGGAGGTGGATTGTGGATCACCGAGAGCCTTTCTAGGTAAAGCTCCTGCTTGCTTGATAACTTATTAATTTCACTTATTTGTTTTGTTTTCAAACAATTTGAAATGAATAAGTTATAAGCAAGAAATAAAATTGCACTACAATTTTTACCACTCCTCTTTCTAGGGCTATAACTTCCTTCATATTCGAGCTTCTGCGCCGAAGTGATTTGATTTGGAAAATTCAAATTATTCTCTCTCCAACCATGGTAAAATTCTTCGAAAGTTAATTTAATAAAAATTTAGCACGTTGGAACTTTTTTCTGTGCAAATGCGACTTTTCAACCTTTAAACGATCATAACTTCCTTCAAAGTCATTCATTTGGGAAGCTGAACACGTATGACAAACTACAGGATTCAAGCTTTCTAAAAAGTACCCAAACGTTCCTGAAAAGTCAGCAGTTCAAAAATTAGTCCCGTTGTTACTTTTTTGAGGGGCATTCTTCAAGCCATTTTCTTGAAAACGCGGGTTTTTAGGTTTCACTGGCCGTAACCTCCAGGGAAAGCAATTTCGTGTTGAACATAGGATGTGTTAGAAAGCTTCGAGCATGCGCTTGCACTGACATCCCCTGCCTTGGTGTGCGCCACGCCTCGGCCGCGCTTCTGATTCGCTGATTCATTTGAAAGCTCATTCAGAAGGAAGGGTTTATAGATGCTCTAGTATCAATTATCTTGCGTAAACGTAACGTGCTGGCTATTATCCATGTTGTCTCAGGCAATACTCCAGCTACACTTCAGTTTCATATGTGGTTTCGTGGCTGGAATCCATGTCCACCAAGAATCCCACTGCCGGCCTCCGAGAGAGTACGACCCTCCCCTACAAGCTCAACCAAATACGACCCTCCCCCGTTGGTACTTGTCGCAGCGTAGGGTTGACCCTGGCTCTAGCTCTGCCCTCACGGTGCATACTCTGCCCACTATGACAGCTTGACACCTTCCTTTCCGCCGGTCCCAAGTTCCTTTTTTCCTCAATGTTCAGGGCGGCCTTCAAACCACTCCGCTCATTTCAATGTGGACACTGCTCAATTCAGTGCATGCCCACCCACGGAAGGCAAATTACCGTCCTAATTCGCCAACCTCTGCCCACTTTACCCCGGTTTTCATGCAGTCTCTATTCGATTTGTAAGCTCGATGACACACTTCACCCTTTCGAAGACACTACTCATTGTGGGTGGACTCCTCAACGTCATGCAGTTGAGAACACTTGAGACATTGCTTCCACACACCAGTTTTTTTTCTGCTGTGTGGGCTTTCTCCTGACCAAATTATATTTTTTTTCATTGAACGCTGTCTCGCCAAAGATTGTCCACCCAGCGCCTGACAGTATCCCTAGCTCGACCGGAGGAGCCAGTGCATACCTACTTCGTTTCTGTCTCGGTTCCTAGGCTATTTCGGCTGTGTTCCCTTTCCCTGCTCCTCCCGCCCCCGCCCATCCGTCACCTCGACCCTGCTTTACCCTGATGTTGTGCAAGTGCACAATCGAATACGAGTCTGGCCTTAAGAGCTGGACACAAGAAGATTTCAGGAGAAATCAGGTACCGTGTGGTCTTCCAAAAGCTGCTTGGCGATTTTCTTCCAGCCCTCGACATCGTAGTTTTGCCTGTAGAAGCCGTAACGATCCGCATTAACAACTATAGTTGTGTTTACCGTGTCGGCCGAGATGTAAAGAGGTCCATCTGCAAACACAAAGGAATTAGGTGAATGTCTCATTACAAACGCCACACAAGTAGAAAGTGGGTAGAGATCAGGAGAAAGATTCGTAAACGTAGGAAATAATGTCAATCAACATTTCAAAATTATCGCTTGAAGGTACAATATTTTTCACGAGAGGGCGCAGACGACGTTTATAAGGCGACACTACGAAAAATGATGTATACTATGAAAACACAGCACAAAGTTGGTTAACATTCACCCCGACCAAGCATTTAATCGGGAAAAGTGGCGTCAGCACATCAGAAAAGCGGACCCCGCCAACAAGCGGGACAAACGCTGAAGAATAAGAAGAAGAAGATGAAACAAGCACAGCACGCGACAAGAAGTCCCTTCGTTTGAGTGCTCAGATCAAGACAGTAGCGTTGCGAGATGCGATGCAGACCTTTTCTCCACAATGATCAGCAGTTGACAGGGATTCAAGATTCTCTGAACACCCATATTTCAGACACTCAGATCAGATGTTTCGGATTTTTTCTGCATGAGAAAAGTTTTCTTAATATAACCAGTTTGTCCTTCCCAAGAATGCTGCGGCCCATGACTACCTTCCAAGGACGGCACTTTCAGTGAGGAGGGGAGGACGAGTGGTGGAGAGGTAGTCGCGCCCACCTCTCAGACAGGGTAGGACTTCATATCTGCTCTAGTTTGCGGTAAACGGGGGCAACCCTACGTTTAACAAAAGCGTGGTGTTGAAGTTGGTCGCATTTAGCCCTGCATTTAAGTGTTAAGTGTTGACTTAAGCCAAACGATTGGATGAGTGATTGGGAGGTGGATTGCAAACTCACCTATTGCACGCAGCCAAGTCAACTTCACCGGTTCGTGATTTAATTGGTACCACAAGGGCACGTCCCATTGGAAGCTGAAAATGAGCTCAATAATCCTTCTATTCATATAAAGCGCTAACTTTGTGTGTCGGTTTGTATGTATGTGTGTGTGTATGTATGTATGTATGTGTCTGTCCGTCCGCAAAATGAAGTGAGTGAGAAGGAAGCTCATGGGATAAACAAACCGCTAACAAATCGGGTAGCTTACAGGATTTGAGATATCAATGTTTTGTAGCAGGATAGTTGTGATAACACTCTTAGGGCTATATAAACACCTGCTTAGCACACTTCCGTTCATTCCACATGGTGCTGCAGTGGCAGCTGGAGGGCAGTGGAGAGAGGAAGGGAGATGAGGAAGGGAAGCGAAAAATCTACCGTCATATCATGATTGTGTCCCTTCTACTGTATGAAACACCATTGTGTTGCATACGCGTCACTTCCAGGAGGTGTTGGTGTCACAGGAGGAAGGGACCATAGCGGAGGATAGAAAGCTTGCGCAGGAAAGGAAGGTCCCGGCGGTTGACGGGGGACTAATCTGGTTGTCATATATAATACCATGTTTCCTCCGCACACGATCGCTTGCATTTCGTGGTGGACTTCGGTGAAACTGGACAAGCTGCAAAGTATTACGACACATGTCCGAAAAACCAAGAGTAACATGCATCCAAAAATGCTAGATTGTGTCCAACGTTGTTCAGTTTCACTGAACCAGTGTAGTGAGCACAGTAGCGTGCGGGAAACTGGTACTTATCATGACATTGTAAACATTTAGCTTTGATATCAAACTCGCATAATTAGCAGTTAAATAATTTTCCGCTATTAGCATTGCTGTTAAAATGAGATGTGACCCATCATTAAGCATCTAGCGTCCAACTCTGATAGGATATCACTATTGTCCAGGTCCAATCAATAAAGAATAATAACGCCGCCTACCCACGCAGCATTTTCTCTAGGCACCGTACGCTAAGGCATACGAATGAGAACGCTCCGTCTTTTGACGTGAGCGTTCTTCATAGACATATGATACGGCCCCTGGAGAGAAAGATCATGGAAGCGCGGGAGATATACCGCATCAAGCCAGAAATAAATGCGAAAGAAGAGCTACGTGACCTTCTGAGGCTTTTGGCATGATCAGTGAGCCCCTTTCCCTCAGGATTGGCGTCTCATTTTCATTCCCGAGCCACCCCGATAGGCCGCCCTCTTCTCTCTCCTTTCTGGTATGTGTCGATGCAACATGTCCTTTGTCTTGTAGTTGTTGATTTGTAATTATTGTAATTTTAAGGTTGGTCTGATGATGGCATTATTGCCGAAAGCTCACCAATAAATACAAGACCAAGAGCTTCAAGAACATCTTATTGAACACAAGTCCAAATAGTTTAGCGGCGCATCTTCCTTTCCTTATTTCAGTGAAGTGTCGGGAATGGAACACTCGGTAACAACCCGTTTTAATTTGTCTCAGTGCAGGTCGGCTGTTTATCATTTATCAGTACAGTTTTGCCACTCACTACCAACACCACGTCACTTTGACAGTTTGCCATTGGTGATTGCAGCAGAGTTAGAGCCATTTGTATTCGGACGCCACTTATCAGTCCTTATTAGTTGCTACCACTTTCTTTCACCCTCTCTTTTGGTCCTCGCCCCACATAAAAACAGGGTACAAACAAGTTACTGTCGAGGAGAAGGGCACACGGAAGGTGGCATTGGTATTTCGGCGGCATGTTATCGGGTATTTTCCCCCGCTATCAATTTTTTTCGTTTGGTTCTCCGTCTCAAATTACATAACAGTTTTTATGGGTGCAAAGTCTCCACCGTCGATGAGCCGTAAAAACATTGGGGACGTCGGCATTCTAACTTCATCAGCTTGTTCAGTATTAATCATTCCCGTAACCCATCATCATATTAGCGTCATGGCTCCTGTATACCTTGACAGTTAAGCGCTCTGGGACCAGAGGGGGTGAAGTTATGATTTCTAGGAGCAAACCCACACACATATACACACAACCGCTCAGCGGATTACATATATACCAGAATGGTCCCCACCAACCGCCGGACCCTCCCTCCCCTGAGAAGCTTGGCTATGTTTCTTTTCACTTTTATCCTCCTATCCTCCCTCCTCTGCTCTCCACCTGCCACTGCAGCACCTTGTGAAATGACTGAAAGTGTACTAAGTAGGTGTTTATACCGCCGTTGGGTATTATCACAATCACTTTGCAATAATACCTCGCCACCGGATTGAACACTTATCTTGAAGACGACGCACTTCCTCCCTCTTTCCTCCCCCCTCCTCCCCATCCCCTGCCTTCCCCTCCCCTCCTGCCCTCCCTCCGGCTGCCACGGCAGCACCATGTAGAATGAGACTGAGTGTGCTCGATCGGTGTTTATATAGCCGCTGTGGTGTTATCATGATCATGACATCAACATCACGAAGTGTTGCCCTTCGTACTCCCTGGTTTTGTGAGCGGTTGGTCCGGACGGACAGAACGACACACACACACACCGACAAACCGACACACCAAAGTTGTGGTTTATATAATGAAGTGATGCACCAGTTTTGCTCCGCCGCTATCGTGCGCATACCAAAGTGGCTTTAGTGCAACCGAGCATAGCTGAGCTCTTGTATTAGGAAGTATGCATAGTTTCAATGGATTTGACTGGAGTTATTACGAATTATGATAAGGCTTGTGACAAGACTCACTTCCCGCAGCTCTCAATCACCCATAAACGTCTATCATTTTTCGAGACCAACATTGGATAGCAGCCGAATAAGCTCTGGATAACCAATACAATCTCTTGGACTACTTACTGTCAGCCTTTGGCGTAAACAATTACCATGCTTCGGGTTTTGGGAATGTTGAGTGGCTGAACAACTTCTGGTAGCGATAATAATGAAACAGAAACACACAGTAGCATATCGTTCCCACGAACACCGGCCATCATAGAAAGTTTGGAGAGTGTAGCGGTTGAATGGATTCCGATAGTAACTACGACATCGCGAAAGAAATGGAGTGTTCCCTTAACTCTCACTTAGATAATGGATTCAGTGACTCTCTCTCCGCAAGCTACCTGTTTTTATCATCCCTTTTCGGCTTTATCACCCTCTGTT